AGTATATTTTTTATTACTCGAACAATATATTTATTTGCTTAATAAATTTTTTACTCATCAAATAAAAAGTTATTTTAGATCAAATATTAACAATAATCAGGATAAACTACAGACGAAATGTAATCTCCCATAATAAATATACACCACATCCTTGTAGAATTACAACTTGTCTGACAGCTGTTATGTTTATAAAATGACGGCTGAATAGCGAATCCAATGATAGTAATTTCTAAGCACAATTAAATTAATCTTATTTTAGTGTTTCCTTGAAAGCTTATCAAAGTGAAATGGCTTCTAAAATTAATTAACTCTACAAAACTAATTAATCATCATAATTTGTAGCTGTCATGCAATTATTTTATTTAAAAACTCGAAAAAAAAAAAGCATAAAGAATTGAATTACTTATTGGAAAAATGACCCAATTTGTCGATTTTATCAAATTATTATTAAATCAAGCAAAAAAAAAAAATTTGTTACTGGCACCAAAAGTAATCCTCTTTTATTACAAATTTTTTAAGGATACAATAAAATTGTATTTAAAATAATAGGTGAAAATTATGCATTAAAACCTACCCTCGTGAGTTTTTTATATATATGCCTAAAAAGTAAGCTTAAAACTGATTATTAAAGGTTTCACTACGTGAACACATAAAATACATGTTACATGAAATAATTATTATTTTTTTGTAAGGCTTATTTACTTTATGAAAAAATTATAGTAATGACATTGCTTTTTATAACCTGTCATCTTTTTGGTGATGTTAAATTGAGTTCAGTTTTATTTTCATTAAATAAAATAGAATAAAACACATAAAAATCGACAACTAACATTCCGATTCAATGTCAAATATTTTGAAATTCGATATAAAAATAAACGCCCAATAATAATAACTAATATTCTGAAATTCATTTATATTTAGTTAATAAAAATTTCCTACTACGTATAACTTTTTAAGTAGTTTATTATAAAATATTTTAACTATTAAATAAACTATCTTACTATTATTGAAATAAAATTATTTCTTTAATTTTTAACTATAACAAAAAAGCTATAATTGATTAACTTCGATGTGAAGGTGAGATGATATTAACTTTATTATCATGAGTTTTATTTTTGTCTGTTACAACTTTTTTTCAGCTCTCACCAAAACGATTTCTTTTAACGATACGTCAAAAGATTACAAATCGTATCTAGTCAAAAACATTACCCTAAAAATTGAAAACATTTCTCTGGTTCCACGTAAAAGAGGGAAATATCCAAACAAATTATAACTTTAAAAATCGATAGTTTTCGACATTTATTCAATTTTTTTTACTCAAAACTGCGATAGCTTTTTGAAAAATAGATACATTATGTATTTACCTAGTATTTTGTTTATTTTTTTCGTAAATCTGACCCTTCACCTGCCCACAATGGGGATTCATTACTTTTCTACAAAAAATTAACTTTTTCAATTTTTGAAAGTATAAATATCTGAATTAAAGCTTATGTAATATTCTTTAATTTAGAAAAAAAAGTCGAACTTTATATTGTCTTCTTGATGAAAACGGCTACCGTATTTAAAAATGTACGGTTTTTGTAAAAAAACTCTTGATTTCATATTTTTAACATTACATTTCTATACTTTTTTGAAAAATGTATGAATCAATACAATTTTTTTATGATAAATACTATTTATATACTTGTTTCATTTTATACTTTTTTTATAAATAGGACCATTTCCCTTTCTACAGGAGAGGTTTTAAACTTAATGCGTAAAAAGAAGTTGAATTTTTTCAAATTAATTTTTGAAAATGTTCCAGAAATACTGACACTTCTATAGATATTAAATTAAAGTTTATGTAATACCTTTAATATTTAAAAGAAAATTTCTAATTTCACGTTGTCTAAAATGGTTACCGTATTCAAAAATATGCAATTTTTGTGCTAAGATTCTCAGTTTTGTATTTTATTTTATTTTAAAATACCTTACAATGAGGAGTACACTGATTTTTATAAATATTATATAAATCTAACTGCATAGCATAGTAAGTTAAACTTACTAGATGTTTTTGCTTATATTAAATCGAAAAAATTAATTTAAAATTTGAATTAGCTTAAATTACCAGTTTTATACGCCGAAGAAATGTGACTAACGGTTGCTGAGTCGGTAACACTTGTGTATTTCACGATTGAGGTAAAATATTCACAATAAAATAAATAATTTTTTCGTAGGTATATTAGGTATTTACTTATCATTTTTTACACCAAAGACAATATTTTCAACATAATATTTTGATAATTTAATGATACGTTAAATTTAAGCTTATTTTACGTACTTTAAATTAAAATAAAAATTGTGCTATGTGCAAATGGCCGTCGAAGTCAAACATACTTCATAAATAAATTTAAATTTATTAAATATTTATTCATATATTATACTTATATATTCCCTGTGGTTGGGGGTAAAGGCCCCTCTGCCAGTCGTTAGAGGCGACTATTGAGGTTGCGTCATGTCGACAGCCAGCTTAAAAATTTATTGTTAAATAATATGAGGTGTCCTAAACAAAACTTAGGCGAATTGTTCCATCTCAGATGTACGTGGGGACACAGGCGAGAGGGAATAAAGTAGTTAAAAACGGAGAAGGCCGAAGGAATAAAGAGTTCGATACCAGCCGGACAACTTGTGCGGTAGCTGTTACACCAGTCATGTGTACAGGTATACCCAACGCTTGTAATGTCAACGGTGTGGGGACATCAACACTTAACTCTACGCTGGACTCGTGTAAATAGACTTAGATGGTTTGGTCATGTTATGAGGAGAGAAGTATTGGAAGCTGTAAGAACAGTTATAGAAATGAATGTTGAAGGTAGAGGAAGGCCAAAAAAGAGATAGAGTGATGCTATTGAATGCGATATGAGGAATGCTGATGTGATCGTAGATGATGTGGTAGATCGTGTCAAAAGGAAGTTTAGGATAAGGGTGACCGACACCGAGTAGTCGGGATTAAGGCGAGGAAGAAGAAGAAGAAGATATTACACTTATATATCATAAGACTTGTAATCAGGATACAAATAACGAAATAGGAGTTCATTTTGTTTTTTATATTATGCATCAATTTCTTAAAATTAAACACTATCTACAAATTTTGTTTGAATCGTTTTTTATGATAGTTATTTTAATCACAGTCAGATATCATCATACCTGTCTCAACTATGCCTCGTCCACGTTGTGCTCCCGTTTTTAGATTCGATGCGAAGCTGAGAAGGTATTGGTTTTATTATAATGTTTTTATTGTGTCTATTATCACTTTTTCTCAGCTCTCACCGAACTGATTTCTTTCAACAGTACGTCAAAAGATCACAAATCGTATCTAGTCGAAGACATTACCCTCAAAAATTGTAAAATTTCCCTCGGTCCCCGTAAATGGGGGAAACCCTCAAAAAAAATTACAAATTTAAAAATTGCTAATTTTCGAAAATTTTTCAATTTTTTTACTTAAAACTGCCATAGCTTTTTCAAAAATGTACAAATCAATGTAATTTTTTTTTATAATTGCTTGATGTCTTTACCTATCATTTGGTATATTTTTTTTATAAATTTATCCCTTTACCTGCCCACAAGAAGGGATTTAAAATGACAATTTTTTTACAAAAAATTAACTTTTTCAACTTAATTTTTGAAAGCGTACCGGAAGGTCTGCTACTTTTATATATATCTTAAATTAAAGGTAATGTAATATAATTTATTATGGAAAAAAAAGTTTCGGACTTTATTATGTCTTCACGATGAAAATCATAAATCAAAGTTAATAAAAAAAATACGATTTTTGTAAAATAATTCTTTTTTATATTTTTAACTTAAGAATGCTATAACTTTTTGGAAAATGTATGGATCAATAATTTTTTTTTTTTTTTATAAAGATGCTTGATGTCTTTATTTATCATTTGGTATATTTTTTTTGTAAATCTGACCGTTTATCTGCCTACAAGGGGGGATTTAATATGACAACTTTATCACAAAAAATTAACTTTTTCAACTTGACTTTTGATAATTTTCCGGAAGGTCTGACACTTTTATATATATCTTAAATTAAAGCTCATGTAATGTACTTTAATTTGAAAAAAAAAAATTTGACCTCTGGACTTGTCTTCGTGTTGAAAATGGCTACCGAATGCTATTTTTGTATGAAAATTCTCGATATTATTTTTTACATTTCTAACTTTATTATGTTATAACTTTTTGAAAAGTGTATAGATCAACACAATTTTTTTATGAGAAATAATATTTTTTAATATNAACTTTTTGAAAAGTGTATAGATCAACACAATTTTTTTATGAGAAATAATACTTTTTAATATTCTCTTTTTCATTCGACATACTTTATCTTAATCAGGATATTAATAAGGAAATAGCAGATCATGTAGCTTTTAGAATAATCCACCAATTTTTTAAAATTAAACACTATTATTTAAAGATTTGCGTGAAATCGTTTTTTTTTTTATAGTGATTTTAATCACTGTCAGATATCATTATACCTGTCTCAAATATGCCCCGTCCACGCTGTGCCACGACCCCCCTTTGTTGGGTTTTTTTATTTGGATCACTTAGGATAGACAAAATACAAACATTTTTCGTAACTTATAAATATAATAAGTTTTATTTTGGTTATACATAACAAAAATTAAGCATTTACTTTATATACATACATAGAAATTAATAGAATTGAAAAATATAAAAGGAACAAAATTGAATTTTACGATTAATATAATTTTATTTCTAATTGAGAGGACTTAGAGCAACAATCAATTAAGTAGATTTCTTTTTAATTTTCCGAAAAAAAAGATGAAAAAAATTTTTTTTATTAAAGTCAATGGTAACATTTTCTTTTTTTTAATTGAGTATATTCAAATATAATAAAAATATTGAACGCGTTTTTTTCTGAATAAAACAAAAAATTCACAATTTTTCAAAGTTAAAAAAAAAAATTTTTTTGACAATATTTTGCACTTATCTGGTTGTTGCAACAAGCCAATCAAATAAAAATCATAATCACGATTATGGAAACCAATGGAAACCGTGCCCAACTCTTTTGTTATGGTAAAATTCTAAAAATCGACAAATTATATAAAGATTCTATTGCTACAGCTCTCCTCCAATCTTCTTTTAATATACGAAAATAAAAGTTCATTGAGAACATTTTAAACCCATAACGTTTATGGTCAATATTTAATTTTAGATTTTTTATTTATCGTTCGTCTAGTTTATATATGATTTTAGTTAAGTTTACACAATGTTCTTATTCAAAGGAAAATTCAAAAACTTATTCAAAGGAATTCTTAACATCTATAAAATTCTCTTCAATACTTTGACAAAAATCACAATACAAAGTTTCATAATTTAATTCAACTTTTAAAGTACTTTTGGAAAAATTTGTAATGAGTAAATATAGACCAATTCGCGAATGAACCAAAACACAAAATATAAAACAACAAAAAATTGGGTCGAAAATCATGCAGATTGTAAACTTTGATGATCAATTAGCGTGTTGTAAGCCATCTTCATTTCTCAGTCGTTCATTTCCATTACCTAAAACAAACAAAACATAACGAATTTAATATAAGTGATCGCAACATTTTTTCGTTGGGGCAATGTTTCAAAAAATGCTTTCATCCGCGTGAAGACAAAGAGTTGGTTTTACATTTATTGATTGAAACTAATTTTAGTGTTGATCGATTGATATTATTACAAACTTATTTGTATACGTATACAATTTTTTTTTTTTGCGCTAAGATTCTTTGTCAATGTGTAAATTTTACACGGTGTCTTGAACAACGGAATGACTTTATTTTTTATCTATCGACTGCTGTAATTGCGTTCGATTAGCCACACTGACTAGTTATCATCACAAAGTGATGGGTAACGCAACGATGACCTAACCACTCGTTTCAATGTCATTTCAGTGGTTATTTTAAAACGAACAGTTCCGCAAAGAGATACTTATCGATAATTCCGATAAAAACTACACAAGCCAAAACTACTATTGTCCATTGGATTACACGAATAAAATAACAATAGAGAAGCTGTGTAATTGCCGGCTAGTCGGCGACAAATCGACTAAAAAACACACAGTGCTTGCACAAGAAAACCACGAATCGGGTTCCGTGGTGTCGAGTGTTCACAGGGGTCAATGCATCGTAGAATGCATTCATAAACGGGGCAGACATCTGGTAAAGGGAGAGTACCAACTAGGCCATCTCTAAATTTAAAGCTAATTCCGGGCGGTTACATATACCGCGGCTTATTAAAACGACCAAGAGAATCAACAAACATGTGTACACATGCGTAACACCTATGTGTTATAATTATGACGTTAAAAATATGAATATGTCGAACGCACACACAAGTCACAGAGGTTATAAAATTAGCCCAAACATTGGCGTACACGTCATCGCTTCCATCGCTCTACTCCACAATATCTAAAACTGTTAACGAAATATATACTCAACAGCTTCAACCGTTAAATGTAATTTTTTAGCAGATTTCCGCCGTTGACGGGCCACAAAGCAATAATAAAAATATTTTACGCTTTATAATTATCATTTTGTATTAACTTACGGTCATGTTAAAAAGAATTACTGTTAAAAGTTTCCAGTGTGTCCGTGCAGTCGTACAAGCATCGGTAGGTGGCCGACAAATCCATGTAGGTTATGCATATTATAATAAGCTATTGAACGGACTGACAAACGGTCAGCGTCCTACACCGAGTTCGAGTGTGCCTAATTCGTGTTAAGGTAGATTCAAAGTAAAACACGTTTATTAAATATTTAAATGCATTGTTGTAGACCGAGACAAAAAACAATCGTCAAAAGTGTTTGGGTTTGCTTACGCCGACATACATAGTACACGATATGACCGTATAGTGTTGCAATAATGTATTTATTATGTACTCGGTTTGTGTAAAAAAAAAAAAAAAGTTCGCTACACATTTATAGTAACGAACATGTGTGGGACGATGAATCACTTTTTTACGTTAATCTGTGTACTCGCGGTACCTTTGGTTCTCTGTCAATTTGTGTAACGAATAAGCATATGGGAAACAATGATACATTCGTCGATTACTTAAAAAAATCGCGCACACGACGAATCGAATTACTGATAAAAAAATGTCCCCGATTGTTCTTAGATTGTTCATACGTATTTAATAAGTACACTAGAAATTATCATTTTGCCAATAACAATTATATTTCAGTCAAATAATAGATATTTAAATTCTGAGTCGACTCACTTGTGCCATCATTTGTTCTTCCTCTTCTTTGGTGATCATAACTGTACTGTGGTTGTATAGACCCTGGGCCATCAATTGCAATGCCAATGGATTTTTGGTACCGCTTGCTTTCTTGATCTTAGCTCGTTTATTTTGAAACCATATCTTAATCTGTGCTTCGTTCAAGCCCAGTTCGTTGGCTAGCTCTTGACGTCGTTGCTCCGTCAAGTACCTGTTCTCTGTGAACTCCTTTTTCAGTCTAGCCAACTGATCTCCGCTAAAAGCTGTTCGGGGCCTTTTTTCGTCCTGCTGCTCTTTGTTGTCTTTCTTCTTCACTCGACGGGTGCGCGGACCTAAACAATATTATTACATAGAAATATTTTCCAAGGCATAAAAGTATAAATGTGAAGTGTTTTCAGTTGTTTGTCATCCTAAACGTTTAACTAAATAAGTACAAATAACTGAAGAAGATACAACAGATAATTTCGATTTTTATTTTCAACATTCGATAGTCAAAATCACAAAGGTGTTGCAAAACTAGCAGTTAATGAGATCATTTTGAGAGATTCTATTTTGAATTAAACGGTATTAATGTTACAATTTATTAGGCGGCATAACAGTCAGAATTGTATTTCATAGGTAAATTATTTTCAAAATACATTTTATGATATTTGTTGATTTATTCGACATTGAACAAAGACAAAAAAATACAATATTTCTGCAACAATACTGACATAATTCATGCGTAATTCGACGGCAAGTGACTCCTCCTCGAGGTTACCGTCAGCAGACTATATTAGTAATTGTTAATAAGTCATTGCGGAAAACCGAACAATTAGGTACTGTTTCACAAACTCCCATACTGATAGTTATGACCATTATGCGTTTAGTATTTATTATTTTGCAGTTCATTCATCTAGACCCAACCATCCAACGAAAGCCCTCGGGTATTAAGTACCGTTTAAAGAGCAATCTCAACGAGCATGTTAATAATAAGCACTCACTTGGTGCATATTAACAACCGCTTTTACGGCCTCTGTATCTCATCAGATGTCAATTTAACAACAATCACCGATTAATTAATCAATTAGGTTGAGGCGACACTAGAAAATGGTTATTTTAGACTGATAAAAAAAAAATGTCTTTTGTAGAGTAAGTAAGAATAGGAGCAAGTCGTATTTAACGCGAAAAAAGTTTTTAAAAAAATATTTCTACTATTTTAAGATATCCGGCGAGTCAATTAGATAGGCGGATCAAAAACAATATTTAAAAACGTCTTGGGAATATACTGTTGAATAATAATTAATAATTGTTTAGATCTCACTTTTCGTTTGGCGCAAGTCAACGGTTCTATATAGTATACTATTTTATGTATAAAAATACATAGTCTGGTATTTTTCAAGTGTGCAGGTACTTACTTCTTCCTAAATTGAAATAAAACAAAAAAAAAATCGAATAAGTTAAAACAATAAACAAAATAATTACATGTATTAAAGTTTACAAATAAGCGTGTGTATTTCATATGCTAATTTTATGATTTTACGACATTAAAGAACGACCTAAACATGATTTTTTATCCGATCCATTAGAACCACATGTACAACTGCATAACAAATGGCAGATACGCTACGGGTATTCATTGCACACATATTATAATAAATGCTGCATATCTTAAGAGAGCAATAAAAAATGTTCCTTTTCGGTAGTGTATCATGTGAAAACGCAAAACGTATTTTACTTCCTATTAAAAGCGTCGTATATGACGAATAGTTTTTTTTTACTGCAGGTCTCTATATTTAAGCATACTCTGTGTGTAAATACCACCATTTGAATGCTAATTTATACATTTTGTGTATTATTTTCATTTTTTTTTTTTTTACTCTAACCGTGTACGATATTTCAATATGTTCCAGTATAATTATGTACAATTAAAACTATCGATGACGTGACCGCAGTCGCTGTGGGTACAATTATTGTAACATTATACATATTCGGGTAAACAAGTCCGCGTACAAGATACGTTTAAAAAACAAACACAAGACTCTAGGCGAATAATAATAATAATAATAACAGTATTAGCTGAGGTACACGTTTTTATGATGTAATTATTGTGTGTCGCTTATTAACGAGCAGCACGCGAATCAATGTCGAGATTAGTAAAAAAAAAAAAAAAATAGCAGGTTCATTTGATACAGAAGTAAACAGGAATTCCTTTAAATGACCTCAACGTTCAAGCGGTAAATCGAAACTAGCAGATAGTAATTATAATTGTGCAGCTCAATTAAAACCATAAATACTTATGCGGAGAAGGAACTGATATTGTAAGCAGACTACTCAGAAATCAGTCCCATATACGCCCCATGCAGTTTTGCACATACCTACCCAACCCAGACGAAAAAACACACAATCAGCACTGTGTTTGTACAGACGATTTTGGGTAAAACTGAGAAATTATTGAAAATTAAAAATGTTCGTAAGGACAGACCCAAGTAATTGGCCCGAAAAACTACAGTGTTGCGTAGTCATCGTTGCATTTGTAAAATGCTCGCAAAAAACTCACAAGTACAATTGCGGTTGTATATAACAAATGTATATGGTTTATATTAAAGAAAACACATTTTACTGGAAAATAATGTGGTTTTTTGAAACGGAAAGTTTCCTGATAATTTCCGAGACGACGAAAACCAAAAACCGATCACCGAGTGTGCAGAACTCGTCGACGATATCTCTACTGATGAGGATTCGATAGTTTTATTTTTTTTAATTATCGCTGTCCGAGTGAGCGCACGTGTAACGAACGAAAATATCATTTCCGTCGTGTCCATACAATATGATAATGTACACAAGACATTGCACGCCGTCCGTATAAATGAAAACGCGGTCGTGTATGTGTATACGTAAATACTCGATTCCAATTAAATTAGCGGCATTAATTTGTAGACTTACCGTGGACAGAGCCGGCGGACGGAGGAGAAGGACGCGAGGAGAGGAAGACCACCCACGGCGCTGGCTGGCCAGTTGCCTATCGTTCCTATATTCGTTTTTTATATGTGCGTGTGTGTAATGCAACAGAGTCGACAAGTTTGCATACGCGGTGTACATAATATATAATATCATTTGGTGGTACGCTATTTTCCGCAATCGATTGCCATCCGACGGAAAAGAACTCCGTCGGTGTCTGCTAGTGGACCGAACAGCGGTCCGATACAACACTTTTGCATTACTCGAGAGTTTATTTATCGACAGCGTAGAAACGCAGGCAAGGGGTGGTGGTACACTGTCGGCGTACGCGACGAAATTCAAAGACTGTCCGGCGTGTCGTCGACAATAGGCGATTTGGCCGCGCGTTAACGAGAGAAAAATACCCGACAATGTTTCGGGCCGAACGATTCTCACCGGTGTCCGGGCTGTTCCAGTAACACCATCGGTACTACGACATCGTGGACGATTCCATCGACATCGTTTGAGGCACTCCTCGGTGCAGTGCGAGTACACGCCGAATGGTAGCGGTACGCATTGGCCTTTGAAACACCCGTGACACTTCAGTGTAACCCTGTTGAGTGCAACACTGCGAAGTACTTTGGTGGGGTGCGGCAGTACAGACACTTGTGCCAGAGGAGTAATGTTGTTGTTAAACCAAAGATGTAGCCAACGTAATGTGAAATACGAGTCCAATCAACGTTGATTAATTATCGATTTCCTTGAATATCAGTTTAGGCACAGGATTACAATAGTTTTCAAACAGTCTGTGGTATTGATTTACAGATCATCTGAATATACTCATGTGAATTCAGATGTACAACAATCGTACTGACATTTGATCAAGAGTAATTTCGACATTATCAAATGATTGCACTGGTAATTTGTAAAAATCATACAATAATCTGTACATAAATGAGACATTTTTATGTCGAACACGACTGAAAAAATTATTTTTAAAAAAATCATTATTATTTAGTATATATTATATCTGAACTCATATCACGTTAATCGTTTGTTTATTTTTATTAAATAAAATAGAAACATTATAAAAAATAATAATTATTACAATTTTATAATAATAACTTTTCGAACAAACCTTAAAATCGCAAAAATGATCCAATAACGAATTAATAATCGATCGGTTAATTAATAAAAACAATCAATCAATTATTCGGGAAGTCCGTCTTTTCTTAACCAATGAAAACAAAGTTGTAAAGTTTGCAACAGAAAAACAATACAAAAATATACTAACAACAATTACAATTTTTGTAAAATTAACAAAATCAATCGATTTATATAAATTAATGTTAAAGAGAACTAAATTCAAAATCAAACGTTACTCCTATATTTATAGCGAAAATATTGTTATGACAATTAATTAGTTTGTTAAAATCGCTGGGATATTTATTTAAACCATAATTTTCATACGTTTGTTTCAATAAAAAAATTATACAAGTAGCTAACAATTTATAAACGTAACGTTCAAAACCGATAATTTTCCAAGTATCTAATAAATGGGTTATAATCACTGGTACCGGCTCACTACATAACCTTATAAATATTTATTTCCATAAAATAATAGAGATTTTTTTTATTGAAAACACGAAAATATTTGTGTCAGTTTAATATTGGCAACAATGTTAATAACAATAATAATGTGTACGCATAATTGGTACGAGTAACGGATGACGTCACCATGTGACTTTACACGCCTCCCGTCTGCCCATAATAACACAGGTCAGACAATTGACCGTTTCCTTTTAGATTACATGGAATTAAGATGTTATTACTTCGCCCGACGAGTCATACGCCATTTGAACACCATAAATTACACTGTAAAAAGTATATAATTTAAAATATTAACATTTTATTCGGCAGCACGGCGAACGGGCCGCGGAATTTCGGTCGGTTTTCAACGGTTAGAAAGCATCCGATCGAGTAAATATAGTTCACGGGAAAACCGCGAGAAATTCAACCAATAGACATTTCATGGTTTTTTATGGGAACGAGACGCGCCTACTCTAAAAGGTCCTCGGCGCGGTGGACCTCTCCACAAAACGGTTTTAATTGAATCGTTACGTTTTTTATTTTAATTGATAAAATGGGATACAAACATGTAATGATGACTACATTATTATGACTGTGTACGGAGTCCGTGTGTAATTGGACCCGACCGGAGCCGCGAGTGAGTCTCGCAGCATGGGCGGCGGCTAATTCAAATCGCTTAAGTATTTATATGTCATCGCCGCGGCCGTTTATCTATCCGATAGATCGACGGGAGATCGATGATCGTTTTTCGGTGCCGCGACAGCATCTCGTACGCGTACAATAGTAACGCAACTGTTGTAATGGCTTAATGAACTCGGTAGGAATACCGTCGTCGTCGTGTGTAATTAAAGAGGAGCTACGCCGATGGTGGCGAGGGCCAGTTGGAAAAAGAAAACGGCAGCTAATGGTCGGCCGGGTAACAAACAAATCGTTTCGATTTTTGTTCGTGTACGATTAAAAAATTACTCGTTAGCCTCTCGCGGTGAAATCGATTATTTCTGTGACTTGAACCTCACATGACATCGGGTTCGGACCGTTTTCGTGAAACGGTACTGTGATCGACGACTGACACGAGGGAAATTTGACGGCGACGGAACACAATTGAAATGCCGTTGATTTCTCCTCTACTCCGAAAAGAACTATTATAAAAGGTCGAGCGATCTGTAGAGTTCCCTTAAACGAGCTCAAATCAGTCGGCACTCGATACCGAACTGCAACGTTATTGGACGGGAGCCACAATAATCTCGTGTAATCATCTCCGTATAATTACAACGGCGGAAGCCGCTAAAANAATAATAATAATAATAATAACAGTATTAGCTGAGGTACACGTTTTTATGATGTAATTATTGTGTGTCGCTTATTAACGAGCAGCACGCGAATCAATGTCGAGATTAGTAAAAAAAAAAAAAAAATAGCAGGTTCATTTGATACAGAAGTAAACAGGAATTCCTTTAAATGACCTCAACGTTCAAGCGGTAAATCGAAACTAGCAGATAGTAATTATAATTGTGCAGCTCAATTAAAACCATAAATACTTATGCGGAGAAGGAACTGATATTGTAAGCAGACTACTCAGAAATCAGTCCCATATACGCCCCATGCAGTTTTGCACATACCTACCCAACCCAGACGAAAAAACACACAATCAGCACTGTGTTTGTACAGACGATTTTGGGTAAAACTGAGAAATTATTGAAAATTAAAAATGTTCGTAAGGACAGACCCAAGTAATTGGCCCGAAAAACTACAGTGTTGCGTAGTCATCGTTGCATTTGTAAAATGCTCGCAAAAAACTCACAAGTACAATTGCGGTTGTATATAACAAATGTATATGGTTTATATTAAAGAAAACACATTTTACTGGAAAATAATGTGGTTTTTTGAAACGGAA